ATGCAGCCGCCGCTGCCGGAATCGAACCCGCATCCCCCGCCACCTTGGAGTCAGCAGACGAGCAGCGTAAGCACTGTTCCACCGAGGCGGACAGTGCTTGGCGTGCATTTTAACCGAAGTTTATGAGAATTTTTTTTTTCATTTCGCACCAATCAAAATGCAGCCATTGCTGTGAGTAGTAGAAGGCGGAAATTAAGCTCAACAGCAGCAGAAATGTGATGAGAAGCAAATGACGATGCGAAAGCGAGACAGGACTGACGCGTAAGTTATAATTGCAACCGACTCCGCCAGATGTACATCCATATATGGTAAATGGAAGCCACATATGCTGACATATATGCTTATATGTGGCCACGTATGCTAACATATATGGTATTTCCGTAAGGGGTACGACTGCGACCATGAAAAAAAAAAAGAACGGGTATTCAATCTCCGACCGCAAAATGCGAGGGACAGTTTCGAGACAAATCGAACGTTACGAACGGCCACTAACGACCGTCTTCGATGGCACGCATCGGCGAACTCCCGATAAGTGGTGACCCGCGTTTGGTACGCCCAGCCCCACAACGTCGCGTTCGGTAATAGCATAGCTCGCTTCGCACGAGGCGGGTTCCTTGCACAACAACCTTCGGGAGAAAGCAACGGGCCCCGAAAGCTCGCAATGCCCGGAATGTTCCAGAAGCGTCTGGCGTAATGACCCGTGTGGATAAGAGCGAACTGGTATATATATACTTAGACGCCGCAGCATATCCAGGCCACGGACTCCAGTGCCGAGTTCGCCGAGGTCTTGACGCCGCATGCCCTTACACTCGAAGGTTTCGCGGTGAGCGAGATTACAGTTATAAAGATCTATTTCTTGGGGCCTCCCGTATGCACGCGACAGATACGCGGGAACAAGCAACACCCGTTCGTAGGCCGGAAGCCGAGACAGAAGAAGCAAAAGGAAGACAAAAACACAGAACGACTCGCGGTAGCGTCAAGGTCGCTGCGGCTGCTTAGCACGGCTTTCGACTACTCGGCGAGATCGCACGTTACCTTGAGCGACGGGTAACGCGGCGATACCCTCCCCGAGCTGCAGAGGCCGTCCGCTTTTTTTTCGAGCGGATTTCTTACACTCCGATGGTTCCTCGCACGTGGATTACGGTTCGTCAACGCGTTCGCTTACGTAACTTGACTTTTGCGTAACCAGTTAACCATCTTGTAAATCATTTCCTTGCACGAGCAAGCGAGCGCTGCGCCGAGAAACGAGGACGTTGGCTTGCTCTGATGTGCGCGGTCCTCCGATCGTCGAGCGCGATATTGGAAAATTTACATCGTTCCGTGTAGGAAGGTATGATGATCGGAGTTCTATGCGAAGTGAAGAGTGAAGAGGGCAGAGTTAAACATTAGGTCCAATCTCGGCATTAGAAATAGATGTTTCCGTTTAAGGGGCTACATTTTGGCAGTTTTTTATTTTGTTTATGCTCAAAGGTGAGTCATGTCATGTTTTTTTTTTTTTTTGAGGAAGTCGCATTTATAGCGATCGAGTGCAACTCACACTTACACGTGAAAGACGCTTTGGTCGATATACGGTATACCGCACAAAGAATTACGCACAATTTACAAATTTAATAAGTTACTTCGAAGAAAAGGCAGTTACATATACATCGATGGGCACAAATAACGGGCCATTTCGTGGCATCGAAGAAACTGTCAAGTTTGATGCCTGGCATTGCCAAGTGTTATTTGTCTACCAGGCGCATCTGGTCGAAGCAATGACATTTAACTGTTAACTTAATGTATTACGCATTCAAGGCTTAATTTGATATATAGTTTGAAGTCTTAACCCCACAGATGTTCTCCCAAATGGAGATGACGACATAGTCGACTAAGTAGATTGAGCGCAGAGCTCGAACGTGCACATTTTCTCAGTATATTGTGACGCTCGAGTTGCCTTTGTCCTTGGTGATTGAAGTAACATATATAAATTGTGGAAACATGTCTCATTTGGCACGAGCAGTAAGGATGGTACCCACCTAACCCGCAGGTCGCGAGATCGAATACCAGCCGCGGCGGCCTCTTTTTCAATCGTAGCGAAAATGATTGAGGCCCGTGTACCTATAGATTAAAGTGCACGTTATAGAACCCCAGGTGGTCGAAATTTCCAGAACCCTCCACTGCGGCGTCTCTCATAATCTAATGGTGGTTTGTGGGACGTTAAACACCATCAATCAGCATTATCAGGAATGGTGCCACGACGTTCGTCGTTTCCCGCTGAATCGTGCATGTGTCAGCTGTCTCCCTCAATGCAGGTGCGCTATGTTTGAGCTTATCTGCCTGCCAAGTGGTCGTTTACTTAAAGCGGTGTCTTATACAGAGGCTGCACGATAAGCACTTCCAGTCTTCGAGATCAAGCGCTCGATCCGGACCAGACGCGTTCTGACGGGGGCGAAATGCAAAGACTTTGGTATGCATAAACTTAAAGGCACGTCAAGGAACGTCATGAGGTGAATACTAATGCGGAGTCACCCACTAAGGCGGGCCATGCGATCATGTCGCTCATTTTTTAAAAGCTGACATTTTGATGCTTTTTTTTCTTATTCTGCAATACCGAAATTGCAGAGGAGACGATAAATTTGAACCCGTCTCCTTCATAACGCCAGAACGATAGTTATTCGCTTTACCAGAAGATTCTACGAACAAGGACACCAGATGTCACGGCAGAGCCATCCTCTTGAAGAAAGCAAGCTCGCCTCGATATCGGCTTCTCTACACCTTTCGCATAAGTGTAGATACCAATCACAGCAAAGAAAACATATATTACCCATCTCTATAAGCCTATCGAATCGGGCCTCAAACATCTCTGCTATAACCTGATATGTCAGCATTCTGTTACGCTACGTAATCTGTCTCCAAGATTAGCTTATACGCCTACAGTCTCGCGGGCAAGCCATATATAACCAACAAAAGTGCTTTCTGCTTAGAGTAGAGACCAATACTTAACTCAGTCACCCCTATGTTAATTCACGGTTCCTGCGTTTGGCAGCGCTCCGAGATTCGAGGAGATAACGCGGAAACGCTAGGTGAACGAAATCGCGCGCGAAGGGAATCGGGTGGGTTTCCTTTCCTGGCCTTCCTTCGGCCACTTGCGCATTCAGGGCAGTAAATTTGTAGATCTGTTTGTGAGGACAGGATCGGCAGCGTTTGGTACTGACCTTGGTTGCGTTTATCTCTCTGCGGAATGAAGGAGACGCGGAATCAGAGTGAGTAATTAGCCAGGAAGCTAATTATTTGAAGCAGTCGAGACCGGCTATACCGAAATCGAAGAGGAGCCAGGACAATGATTGTCGGTATATTGAAGGTTAATAATAATAATAATAATAATAATAATAATAATAATAATAATAATAATAATAATAATAATAATAATAATAATAATAATAATAATAATAATAATAATAATAATAATAATAATAAATATCTGGTTTTACATCCCAAAATCGCTATATTATTATGATTGACGCCATAGGGGACCGAAAATTTCGACTACCTTGGGTTAATTCTTCAACGTACAACCAAATCTGAGCACACGGGCATATATAGCATTTTCGTCTCCCGCTTCAAAAGACAAGCGTTATATAATCACTAGACCATCGCGGTGGCTAAGCGCGTTTATCAACTGGGGCCCGTATTCTCAAAAACATTTTAAGTGTTTTTAACAGAACGTACTAATCAATCGTTGTGTCGAACATAACGTTGGGTAAGGCGGTGTACCAATGGAAAACAGTTCTTGAACTCGCCTAGTTTTCGAGAAATTCATTTATCTCTCAAACGTGCCAACAAGGTCAGGCATTAATGCCTTGCCGGCGAATAGTCGCTTTCCATACATCAGATGCGTATTACTCGAACACGAAGCAAGGAAGAGCCCTCTGTTAGTGAAGCTCGGAGATGGCGGAATGGTTAAAATATAAAGCACTATACGAAAGCATGGAATGCGGAGAAGATCAAAACAACCATGAAGAAGGGAATCGAACTGGTTTACCGTGAAGAAATGCAATGCCGACAGGTTTGAGGATCACTTTTCAATGGCAGCAGACTGGCAGCGAGAAGTGTGAAGCCGGGCAAAATGCTCGATTGTCAAGTGAAGCTTACTCGAAATAAAGCGAAGTGCATCGATGTTATCCATCCTGACTTAGCGAGTGCTGCATCAGTGGACTGATTGATTCTGACGAAGAACATGCATCGAAAGGCATCTGTTAAATTCTCACTGGGTGAACTCATAACGCAACAGAGAACTCGAACAGTGGCGTACTGGCACACGCACCAATCAGGGTCCGCGTGCATGCTATACCAAGGAATGTTGTATAATAGCGATGTCTAAAAGAACTTGACTGTTTCGACTGCTGCAATTAACATGTTCGAAATCGGCAGGATCGTGGTCCTTGTACGCCACCGTTTCTACATCTAAACGGCACACGCGGAATCGTAGCCACACGTGGCCCGCTCAAGTCTCTGCACAAAGAACGCGCTGTGCCACGTTATAGTGGCAGAGAGAACGGTGGTCTTTGGGCGGCCGATAGCATCCCGATCGAGCACGGCGACGGACGGGCCTCTTGGTAGTGGTACTCACTGCGTACGAGAATTCGGCGGGCGTGCGCAGGCACTTCGCAAACAGCGGCCGCGGACCGACGCCCCGCCGGCCGGCAACCCCCACTGCGAGGTGCGCTAACGAGACAAACAGGAGCGACGCAAAGCCACGCCGCTCCGGAGAGAATGTGATGAAGTTTGGCGCGGATGCGAGTCCAGGCAGCAGCGGCACCGGCACAGCGCGGGAAACGCCAACGACGAGGGGAGGAGGAAGAGGAGAACGTAACAACCACCCGCGACTGAACGCGCCAAGGAGGAAAGCGCGCGGAGAGGACGCCGTGACGCAGCCGAGCCGAAACGTCCTCGTGGCTGACGTCAGAGACGACCTCGTGGCCATTGGCTGGGCTGCCGGACGGAGCCTAGAAAAGCGCCGGTGCGTCCAGCGACCGACGACTGCCGCAAGCAGCGACCTTACCGCGTAGTGGTGCGTTGTGTCTTTCGTGTGTGCTGCGCCCGAACGCGTCGCTCGCGCGCTCCTCCTATAGACTCCCTTGTGTGCATAGACGTTCGCATCCCGCATCGCCATGGGAATACCGGTGTTCGACCAGCTGAGCTGGGCCTACCACAGCGTACTGTCCAACACAGACCCTCGTGTGGCCAAGTGGCCGCTCATGGGCAGCCCGCTGCCGGTCATCTCCATCCTCATTGGATACGTCTACTTCGTCAAGGTGTGGGGACCAGCATGGATGCGGGACCGCAAGGCGTTCAACCTGCGGAACATCATCCTCGCCTACAACGCGGGTCATGTGGCCGCCAACGCGTTCTTCTTCTTCTACGGCGGCCGGTTGACGTACCTGTTCGGCGACTACTCGTGGTTCTGCGAACCCGTCAACCTGACGGAGGAGCCGAAGTCGATGCTGCTCATCACTCTCGGCTGGTGGTACATGCTGCTCAAGCTGAGCGAACTGATGGACACTGTGTTCTTCGTGCTCACAAAGAAGAACAGCCACATATCGGCTCTGCACGTCATCCACCACTCGCTCGTCGCCTGGTCCGTCTGGCTGGGCGTCAACTTCGGTGCCACGGGACAGAACGCGTTCTTCCCGTTCCTCAACTGCTTCATCCACATGATCATGTACACGTACTACGCGCTCGCCGCCCTGGGCCCCCGGCTCAGGCCTTACCTGTGGTGGAAGCGCTACCTGACCCAGCTTCAGATGAGCCAGTTCATCGCGCTCATGTTCCACGGTGCCATCCCGGTGTTCTACGACTGCGGTTTCCCGCCCTACTTCGGCTACCTGACCATCTTCGAGGCTGTGCTCTTCTTCGTGCTGTTCTTCAACTTCTACGTGAAGACGTACTCGCGGAACAACACCCTGCGCCAAGAAAACGGGCTGCGCCAAGAAAACGGCCTTCGCCAAGAAACCGCCAAGTCGCGTTGAGCGCGGCTTCGTCGACGTCCACCGTTCCCTGTAAATACTCCCCTCCCGTACCTGTACATAGAGACTGCTTGTCCCAAAGCAACCACCGCCATTTTTTAGCTCGTATTATAATTATTTTATTATAAATAAAAGCGACGCTGTACAAATGAAAAGCGACTCGTAGCCAATCATTGTGCTCGTTCCCGCCCAAGAGCGGAGTGCTAAAGACCGCGGTGTGTGGGAGGGATGCCTTTTATTTCCAGGTGCTTTCACGTGCATTCCGTGCATGGATAGTTTGCGAGCCAGCGAAAAGCTGTCGATTCTTTCGGCGAACATCGCATGCAGTACTCACCGGTGCCGCTGCACGCTCGCGCTGCCCCCCAGCTCTATGCTGCTGTGCGGAATCGCAGTGCAATTTCATTATAGCGCAACTGCCGCATTACAACTTGAGTGCGAGTGTGTGTCGTAGCGTGCGCACATCCCCAAGCAAACTTTGGTTTGGCAACTATGTTCATGGCTCGTCCTAATTATATATAGATGAGTACAATTTTCAGCTGCAGAAAGTCACTGTCCCTCAAGATTCGCGCACTGATGTGAGGGTGTGTGTGTGTGTGTGTAGTCGGTACTAAGTTCTTGACGGGATGGTCCGCGCTGCGCACCTGTTCGACACATTTTCGGAAACGATGGCAGTTCTTGCTTTTCATGAACCCTCCCCCGGCGTGATCTTTGACGTTCTCGCCCTGTTACATAACCGGAAGCGGAAACGGGTGATCGCTTTGCCAGCAGCCTTCTAGAAGCGTATCGTATAGACGACGGCGTTCTTTTCACCGCGCGTTCTTTCTTCCCTTCATTGGGGGTCATCCAGGCCATGCGCCCGGCCTCGGCGGTAAACCGGCCGTTAGTTCGGTCTTTCCACTATCGCGCCCGCCGGTCGGTCGTCACGCCAGTTTTTCGAAGGTTCTCCCCACTGACCGCCAAACCTGGAGAGCCGGCGTGTGTCGGCAGCGTGTGGATGTGTGTGGTGTCTGTACCCGAGAGGGGGGACTCGCCTAGATGCGAGGCGTGGTGGTTGTCGATCGGTGGACCGCCTCGGGGCAGAAATTTGGCCGCTTTGGCGCTCGCGCCATACACCCCCACCGCCTCCTCAGCTGGTACCTTCCGAATGCTTCGTTCACCCCCTCTCTGCGGACTGGCCGTTATATAAGTGTCCCGCCCGGGTCCTCTGGCACGCCACGGCCGCCTTCTTTTTCGTGAGCGCGAGGATTGATAGAGAAAAAAAAGAAACGCCGACCCAGAAGTTTTCCAACTGGTTGCTCTCGCTTCCCGTTTCGCTTGCCGACGACGAGGACAAATACCGATGTCCTCGTCTCGTATTCCGACGTATACACGCACGCTGCACCTTCGCAAGCTGGCGTGCCATCGCAACAAACGTCTTGCGAGGCTTCCGTGTGTCGTTCATTCAGTTGTTTGTGCTGTATAATTCGCAACGTGTTTGTTAGTTCGAATAAGTTACCCCCCCGCGGAGTAGGGATCGGAAGGAGTTGCTGTAGACTGTCGACGACAGCAGCCTGATAGTTAGTTCCGACGGTAGCAATTCTGAAAGATGATCGGCCCTGCACCCGCTTTTGTCAAAACGGGACGCCATCTCAACGACTTTTGTTGTGTCTCAGGTCTGAGGCAACACGGAAAAGAGAAAAGAAAAAGTGGGCCGGTCGTTTTGCGCAGCGAAAAGAAAAAAAATGTGCCACCCCCGCTGGCTACAAGCGTTCAGTGACTGTAGTGGCGCTCGCGGAACCAAGTGAGTGTTCACTTCTGACCTCACTCGAGTCGAGACAACTATGTGGCTCCGGGCATGGTTCGTGTTCTCTCCGCCTTGCCGCCGAAAGTACACCACCGTCTTCTGGCAACCTTTGCGCTGACCTTGCGTGCTCCCCGATATCGTGTGCCGCCAACACGTGATGCCTCAGGGCAGCCGTGTAGTATACGTCGAGTGTCCTCGCTTTTATGGAAAGGTACGGAAACGTGCCTGAAGACGAAGAAAACCAGTACTGCGGCCCACTTGTCGCTCCCGTACATTTCTTGGAGCGCACTTCACGCTCCGTTCCACAATACATCTTGGCTCTACAGTGGTAGCCGCAGTCCAATAGACCACGTGGTTCGCGAATGTACAAGTCGTCGCATGTTCATCCATGCCCAGTAGCACATGTTATTTTCTCAAGCTTAACCCGCACGATGAATGATTTGATCTATAGTTTAGGTACGTGCGTAGTGGGGTTGGCAATTTATTTTGGTGGAGCTAAAGTCTTTCGTGCAGTAGTTTGCAAGTGACATAGGCGCAAGAAGGGGAACAAGCGAGATATAACCGCCTTTCCTCCTCCCAAAATTCTGGCCGTGCTCCTGGCAAGAGAATACACCGACGCCAGCTGCACTCGTTGAATAAGAAACGAAATTCAGTGGTTACACTACTGGAAAGCTAACAGAAAATACAGCGACGCAAAGAAACCGTGAAGAAGCTGAAATACTCTAGCCAGCGCGCGAGCGATCGTCTCTCAGCGTTTCTTGCAACTGGGTTCGACGGCATCCCCGGGTCGAATGGCCCACTTCCTGCAACACCGGCTTGTCGCCTCGTCGCAGACCCATGACGACAACGACGACGACGAAGGTGCCCTTGACAACGACGCCACAATGCAATGTGCATTGACTATACATATTGAACACGAGCTTTCGCTCTCCCGCGTTGAAAGAACGGGACCATCTTGCGAGGAAGGTGACTTAGGTATTCGGTCTATTCGGGAGTTACTGTACCTATTGGCAGCGGGAGGTTAGTGTGCTCTACTGCTGTCTCCAAGATCGCGAGTTCGGAACTGGCCGTGGCGGTCACATTTCAATGGCAGCGAAATGCCATAGGCCCGTGTAAAAGGTAATGTCAGTGCCTGTTAAAAACAACAACAAAAAAACACATCAAATGGCCAATGGTTCCAGAGACCTCCACTAGGGCATGTCCCATGGACGAATCGCTGTTTTGGGACCTAAAGCTCCATATATCATAACTATTACTTTTGGCAGCGAGTTGCACGGCGTGCAGTGTCCGAGGCATTGGCCTGCGCCTCAGCGGCGGGGATCATTTCACCGCGCTCCCTTTCATCCCCCTCGCACTCGGAGACCTCGTTTGCCTGAAAGTCTTGCCTTGCGAAGCAGCGGCACGATCACGACGCCACCGCCGCAGCGCGGAAAGAAAGTGCAAAGAATGGGAACCTTGCCGCGGGTAGCGATGACAGTAGTGTGTAGTAGCGTACTACGCGCGCAAGAAGAGCTGGGTCAGTCACGGCGCGCCATGGGAGGGCCGTTCCGACCGGAAGCTTCCCGCGGGCGTCGCTCGTAGTACCGCAATCACTTCCAGCTCTAGGGCGACGCCTCCAGCCAGCGGCGACCAACGGGCATGCTCTCTCTCTCTCTCATTCTACTTTCCCGCGACTTTCAAGTTTAAAGCTAGTGTTCCGTGGTTACGTGAAATAAAACAAGGTCTTTTACTGCAGCCACCCTGGCCTTCACGTTGTCTCACTGATGGCAATTGTCGGTTAGTTCTCTTTGATATTGTGCCTAAAAAAGAAAAAAAAAAGAGCCCTTAATTTGTCCATCTTGGTAGGAAGCGCAGCCACTATTGCACAGAACACACAACACAAGCGCTTAACTTAAACTAAACGTTTATTGCAAACGGCAGAGATTATAAAGGGGGTGAAAGAGAAAAAATAATAAAAGGTAGACCACAAAAAGCACACGTGCCAGTCCCGTACATTACATATCCGTTATTATCTATCACCCCTTCCAAAAAAACAACTATGTTTTGACACTTGGAGTACTTGAGACAGTTTGTCAGCCTCTGAAACTATTTCAGTTTCAGTTTCAGTTTTATTGAGCATTTTCTTCACAGAGTTGCGAAAAAGAAAACGCAAGGATAAGAGCAAAAAGCTGCTATGTTAGCAGCTTGACGAGGCTCCTACCCCTTTTCACTTGGCATTACAAAATCCGCAGAGCACAAACATGAAAAAACAATTTGACGTCGATTTTCAAAACTTCAAGAAATTAGGAAATAAAAAGAAAATGCATCAAAATTAGAACAGTTTTAGGTTTACATAAAGTAAGCAAACCACAAAGAGAGAAAAACAACAAATAAAACAAGAAAACAGCGTACGGTCAATCATGAAACAATGCACACGTTGCTAAACGGCTACCAAAGTATTACAAAATGATTATACGACGTTTACAACACTGGGTATGCGAAAAGCACAAGTTTTGATGCACAAGGAAAACACTGACGAGTGAAATGTTGCATGTTTTACTCGTAAAAAAAGCAACAAAAAATGTCAAAAAAAGCAAAGATCATAGGATGTCATGTTACACACGAGCACTATTATAGGGTGTTTCTTTTACATAAAGTATTTTAGCCGGACAATTAGAAGAAGCTATACTACACGCCGTCATTCTGGATGAGAAGGTTCTTAAGTTGTTTTTTATGTATATTAAAAATGTCGATGTTTCTATTTTCAAACATGTTAAAAAGAAGCAGGAATACAGTGTTCAAGTCTTCTCAAACCATGATTAGTTCGCGAATAAGGAACGAACCAGGAAGGCCTTTTCCGAATGTCATAATGGGATTGTGTATTTTTTCGGAGGTTACACAGTTTAAGAAAGCAAGCGTTGCTTGATAGCAAGCTTTGTTTGTATTTCATAATAAGGTTGAAGCTGTGTATGAAAACTAACACATGAAATGCCTTATGGTAATACGCTCAGGTTCCCAAACCTTTCGTTGCAATTTCAGGATGACCACGTTTGTTGGCTTTATGAGCCCAGGAGCAAAAAGCCATAGTTGCCTTTCTTTTCTGCCCATATCAAAGTAGTGAAGAGGTCTGTCGCACGAATGTGCCTTTTTAATTCGTTGAAGAAGTCTTGCTTTCACCTCATGAAGAAGAGCTTTGAGCAGCAGGTTTTGCGACTGCAGGCAGCAGGTTACCCACAACGAATGGTTATAGACGTCGTTGAATCGCTATATAGGGACCTAAAGAAACAAAATAGGCAGCGTATTAACACTTCCCTGCAGCAGCGTAAAATGAATGTTGTCCCCTATATCCATGGTGTGGCACAAAATTTTAAAAAGATTGGAAATAAGGTGGGC